AAATAATTGAAGATAATCAAATAATTAAAAACAATCAAATGATTAAAAACAATCAAATAATTAAAAATAATCAAACAATTAAAAATAATCAAATAATTTAGAAACAATTTGATTAATTTTGATTATGTTTTATGGCAATTAATCGTGATTATTTTTGATAATTATAATTAATTATTAACGGCTGGGTTATGTAAGAAAATTAAAATTATCATTAAAATTAAAAAAAGCAAAAAAGTTAATGATTACTAATCGTAATGGAAATTTAACAGCTCGGATCTTAACATAAGTTTTCTAAAACAAATTACAAAAATTTTTTGATTCTCACAAAGTAAACCATCTCCTCATAAAGAAAATTATTTTAAAAATAGTTTTTGAAAAACGCGCACTTTTTGAACCACTTTTTTTTAGAGAATTAAACAAGGATTACGATGGTATAATTTTAAATCCCTAATTTACTGGCCTTCACTATGCAAATCAACTTCAAAAAGTTCAACTGTTAATAGCTAAGTTAGCTTTAGGACAATCTTGACCATCTTTTATATAGAAATGAAAGCCCGTTTCTTAGCTTTAAAATGACGTTAAGATGAAGTCTCCACGATCAGCAGAACCCGAGATATAACGATTTGAAGAAGTACATTATTAGTCAGAATCACAAAAAAAATTCAAGCTTTGGCAGATCATATTTCCGAAGAAAAAAATTTCTCGAGCCCGTGTTAGCTTATTTCGTGTATAGAACCCACAAAAAAAAATTGAAGTAAATCAGAGAAATTACATAATTTTTTTTTACGAAATCTGTCCGACTTAAGAAGGAATGGCTCATATAGTTTTAAAATGCGAACAATGCTTATGCTGGCTTATATATAAAAAATATATGAAATTTCTATATTCGTCCGTGTTACTGACAATCATATTTTCGGGCATAAAAAAATTCCTCCTCCTTAACTACAATAAATATCGGGATGAAATTTTGCGCACTTCAATGTTTACACTTTATTATTTGTTTTTATAATAATTTTCTGATTTAACAATTAAATTTTTTTATTTACGCTATTTTTATTTCTTATTCACACCAAAAATGAATTAAAAAAAAACTGCATTTATTCGAAGAAATGTTTTCACAACAACAAACTTTTTATTTATAATTTTTTTTTTTTTAAATCGAAGTATGCAGTTTTGTAGCTCATTAAATTTTAGTAGTGCAAGTTTGAACAGGCTAACCACCGGTTTCACCAGCAGTTTAAATGGAAAATGTTTTCTTATTTTCTGTCAATATCCATATAATATTCAAAAAATTAAAATCATGTTTTACTTAAATTGCTTTCATGAAATTGGCTGTAAGAATTCGCTTTGATTTTTGATATTTTCTTGCCGATGGTGTTAATTTTTCCTTCCATGCAAAAAAAAATTAACGAACATAGTAACTTTGTTTGGAATAAATGCGTGACACCGTCAACAAAAAAAAATCTAAAATCAAAGTTAGATATTTGGATTTACATGGCTTATGTTAGATTATAAAAATGCCACAGGGTGTCCAACTGGTAAGCGCAGTACCAGGAGTCACTTTATTTTCTTGAAAAATTGTTTCAAAAAATAACTAATACTCTTACTGTGAAAAACGCTTTTTTAATGAAGACACTGCGAAACGGAATTTTTTCACGAGAATATACAGTTTTTGTACGGAAAAAGATACGAGCAAAACTGCAAAAAAAAAATGACAGAAAGTGAACTATTGTTGAGACGACTGACGAAGCCCTTAAAAGAATAAAAAAAACTGGCGAAAAGTGGATAGTACTATTTACGAAGGGGTGAGTAGAATTGAATAAAGGGCGTTAAAAATAAATTCTGATTAAGAATAATGGCAATGTTTTTTTCTCCGCTTATCTAATTTGAAGTCAAATACAAACAAAAATTATTAACTGGGTTGGAGCTGCTTCGGCCCATGGAGTAAAAAGGCAAAATGTTTACATTTTTCCCTTGTCCCTCCACAGTCTCGTGTTATCATCAGGGAGTCTTTTTTATTTAAACGATAAACAATAAACATGAAGACCGAAAACCATTATTAACAAAAACATAATAATAGCTGCATGCATACATATGTAGATTAGACTGCATCACCTCCCATACAAAAAAATCGGTACTGTTTTTGTATTGGAATTATAAAACCTATTATATTTTAAGACGGCCACCAAAATATTTCGGAAAAATATTAAGTTTTACGTGAGCTGGACCGATTTGAAAATACCTCCAGAAATTTAGTTTTTTATGAATAAAAATAATTTCTTAAATATGTTTTTTGAAAAAATCCCCTCAAATCACAAATCGGTTTAAGCTTAAAAAATGTGCATAAAAAATATTCTTAAAAAATTAAAAAAAATATATTTGAACGGAATCGAAATAATGAAATTTTTGATGCTGTTTTTAACTTTTTTCAAAGATTGGTATAAGAAAAACTTGAATAACTGAACCTAAACTCTTCCGATTTAAACTTGTGAGGTATCAGTGGAAAGGTATTTTCTCCCCCTTTTTATTTCTTTGCTAACAAACTGAATAGGACGAAAGAGAAAGGTAGAAAGGTAGGATGAACGAGCGCCATTCAAAGTTGAATTAAGATTGGTTGCTATTTGAAAAAAAAATATTAGTGGGAAAATACCTTTCCACTGAGATCCCATAAGTCTAAATCAGAATAGCTTTGGCCCAGTCATTCAAGAATATCGCAAATCAATCTTTGAAAAAAGTAAAAAAAAACAGCATCAAAAATCTCATTATTACGATTCCGTTGAAAAGATTTTTAAATATTTTTATGCAGATTTTTTAATCGTAATCTGGTTTGTTATCTGAGGGGACTTTTTTCAGAATGTTCTTTAAGAAACTATTTTTATTCATAAAAAACTCCAGTTTTGGAGGTATTTTCAAATCAGTCCAGTTCGCTTAAATCTTAATATTTTTCCGAAATATTTTGGTGGACGTCTTAAAATATAATAAATTTTGTAATCCCGGGGGAAAAACCGCAACTTTTTTTGGTGCTACATTCTAATGTACATAACAATAGTTACTTACACACATAACAGTACTTGAAACTCACATTAAATATTGACAAGAATTTTACATTAATTTGCACAGTTTGAAAATAATACAACATTTAGGAAGAATTATGAATGTATTACGTGTGTATGTTATTATTGTTGTGTTTTTGTTAATCTTGTTTTTCGTTCTTCATGTTTATTTTTTATTTAAATAAAACAGACTACCTGGAGATGACACGAGAGTGTCGAAACGCGTAGAAGGGACAAGGGAAAAATATAAACATTTCGCATTTTTATGCCATCGGCCGAAGCAGCTCCAACCCATTTAATAATTTAATTAGTCGATTTGAGTGTGTTGGACATTTTACAATTACGAAATAAAATAATTATTAAATTTGTTAAATATTTAAAAATGCTCAGCAGCCTGTTGAACTCTGCCTAATTAAGACGCGCATGGGAGTTGAAATATGTTCTGCTACAATATTTTGAAGAAAACAGCTGTGGAGATCTGCGGAATAATAGGTCAATAATATATTTGTTAGGAGGGTCTATGTATGATTTACTCTTAATGACGCATGCTACGCGTTATTTATTCTACATAGTACTTATATATCTTAAGAGAATAATTAGTCTCACACTTAAAGGAGTCACAATTCAGATTTTTCCCGAAGAGAAGTATCTAGGAGTAATTCTGGATACAAAGCTATTGTGGAAATTCCACGTGGAGCACAAGACCTCCAAAGAATTGGCTGAATTTCGGTCTCTGGCAAAAAGTGGACAAATCGTAGAGTCTGCCACCAAAGAAAACCATCAATCAATAGCGTGAAAGAACCATCGCCGTGTGCTGCCCATCTTCGCTTGAAGAGGATGAGATGTCGGAACACCTTTTGAGTTTCTGCCCTGCCTTTTCAAGAATACACTACAAATTGTAGGTCTCCAAAAAATAATTCATATTGCAGCCTTACGATGTCATGCTTTTGCTGAGCCTATTCAAGGGAAATTAAGCGCAAATCAGCGTGAGCAGAATGCTAATTTGCGGACTTTTTTGTGTTCTGAGTCTTACCATGCTGATTTGTCGAGCAATAATAAATAATACAAAAACAAAACAATAAATACAAAGTAGAATACACTACAAAAACAAAAACAATAAATAGCGCGAAGCTTGGCCTGCTCAGAAAAATAATACAAGTAAAAAGTCCTCTAAATAAATTAATGACAGTGCCTAACTGAGCTTTAACAGACACCAACCACCCGACTACATTCCATGATATATACAGAATTTTATGGCCACATTCGCTAAGGCTCCTATCTTTTGTATTTCTTCATCGGTCCCATGGACACCGAGCATAGACATACATATGTAAATATGTATATTTATAAATTCAGCGGCCGCTCTAGCTGTAGTTGGAGGTGTGAACTGCAACTCTGTAGGAACTAGATGCGATGTCTGATGCGCGCAACACCTAAATGATACGAGTTTTTTCTGAAACCCTTTGTTTTTTTTTTTGTCTCTCTATTTTCAATTGGAAGGATAAATTCGGTCAAACCCGTAAAGAATTGTTGACTAAATAAATACTTGACAAAAACGTCGCCTGTACCATCCGCAGTTCTTCTGACCGTTTATTGTGTCGTCAGCCGTATAATTACGTACATACCTTTACTTAACCTCAATTATGTGCTATCGACGTAGTGGAAAACCTTAATCAAACACTCAGTATTAACTTTTATTTTTATTAATAAAATTCAAGGTTGTCAATGCAACCAGATAATCATTTATTTAATTCTACTAAATTAGCCCGATAATTGAATAAAATTACACTTTCAAATCATTTGTTCGCATAAAGTGGTATTCAGTCGGAAAACATACAATTGATTAACCGCATACTCATAAAAAATTTATTTTAATATAATCACAAATGTTCAAGCACAGTTTAATTTGCAATGCATAACAAATATCTGCATTAAATTTCACGCTCATAATCACTAAACTGCACAAGATTTACAAAACGAAAAAAGAACAATGCAATAGATTCGGTAGAGTGGCTGCAAAGTGAATATTTATAAGTTTTCTCACACTTATGTATGTATATTTTTCTATCGTTTTCTATACCACCAATTTAACGCCGCCGCAGACCGCTATTAAAATTCAGCCGACTACGTTGCTGTGGTCCAGGCGCCTGCGCATTACCGGCAGCTGCTATCAAATCATTGCGCTGCGCCAAGTTTAACCCTATAGAAAAGAAATGTTGAAATAAATTCAATATCTATGTCACTTGGGCCTGCCGACTCTACTCACCGTCTACCACCACATCAGGTGCTTGCAACTCTGTCTGATCAGCGCCACTCGCGGAACCACCCAAACCCGTTGTTGCAACATTCGAGGAGAGATCGCCAAAATTTAAATTGAAGCCATTGTCCGCTCGCGCTTCACCCTCCGACCCAGTGTTCAGATCGCTGGGCAAATCTGCGACGCGTATGATGAACTGATCACGTCGGCCCTGCGCACTCGCGGACGCCACCAGCAGCGCCAAGCCAAGCGTAAAATAGCTAAACGCGCGCTTAAAGTTGGAGTTGCGCGTAAACAACAACATTCTCGTTACACATTCAACTGGCTACTGATCGCCCAAACATATGTATCATTCTATATAATATTTATTTTATATATATATGTTCGATTATTTTTTTTGCAATATTTGTGCTTATGTTAGTGCTTCAAGTCATTACGTTGGCTGTTGATTGAGCAAATTATGTCACACATGTCTACAAACATTCATGCTTTCATATGTACATGGAATTTATGCACGCGTATGCGCGCTATTTGTGCTCAGTGATGATAAAGTTGCCACAATTGTGCTTTTTTGGTAAAATTTGAAACCAAAAAGTACATTGACACCACATAAACCTTTTTGGTACAATTTGGAAATGCAGCGCTGTGTATATTTCGCTTGGTTTTATATTTAAGAACCTGTCAGACGTGGCAATATTTCCAACTTTTCCACGCAATTCGCTGTCAAATTGAGAAAGAGAAATTTTATTTCGATGTGTGAACAGCCAGAATGACCTTTCTGTCACTCTCATTTCGGAAATTAGTTTCAGAAATAAAAGCTGCAAGATGTGACTGCAATTGAGAGAGCGCAAATCTTTTTCAGAAATATATTTCATCTTGCTCGTGCGGCACTAGCAATCTGCAATTCGTCTCTACCGAAAAGAGACTACAGAATTTCAAATTCAAATTTATTGAAAAGTTGGCGCTTGATGAAACTTTTTTGGGTGCCGTTAGAAATCAAGTAATATTATCCGCAAATCTAAGAGGAAGTGCGCAAGAAAATTGTGTACCATTACTGCACTGAAAAGGAAATTTCGTTTCGACAGTTGGCCATACGGTATAAAGTCAGCGTAAACAGTGTCATTATCAAGTTTGATGATATGGCTTCCAGCTACGACAGGCCGAAAAGTGGAAGAAAAAAGTGTGCAAGTGACCAAATTCTTGAAAAAAGGTTCCTGGCTTTAATAAGCCAAAACAAAACAATGACTGTGAGAGATTTGGCAAAAAAGCAAAACAAGTGCGCGCATTACACAAAAAGTTAAGAAAATGCATAATTTGAAATCTTACAAAAAAACAAAAAACGTGAAAGACAAGTGGGTAAAACTGAGCTCCCAAAAATTGTACAAGCGTTTGCTTCGTGACTTCGTTGAGTGAATTGTAATGGACGATGAAAAATACATCAAAATGGACTCAAGAACCTTACCAGGTCCTCAGCTCTATACGAAATGGTTGGGTAACACAGTTGAGCAGTCAGTGTTATGTTTTGAGTGGAAAAATTTGGTGAGAAGATACTAATTTGGTGGCTATGTGTTCTTGTGGCCTACAAATGACAAAAAAAAAATTGTTCACGAAAAGCATATATATCAGCCGAAGCTTGCCAAAAAGAGTGCCCTAATCGCCGCATTTTACCATTTTATTTGGGTACATCGCATTACGTCAATTCCACTTTGACCTTATTAAATAATAACAAGGTCAATTATGTAGCAAAAGATGAGAACGCACCAAATTCTCCAGAACTCAGGCCAATAGAAAGATATTGGGCAGTTGTCAAACGGAACCTACAGAAAGATGGCAGAGCTGCTAGAAACGTCGCAGAGTTAAAAAAAAAAACGGCTCAAAGCAAGCAGAGTGAATACTAGAACGGGCGGGCATAATTTAATGAACGGAGTCAAACAAAAAATTCGGTAAAAATTTAGAGAATAATATTTTGTTGCAAATTTGTATTGATAATTTAACTAAATATCTTTCTCTTAAAGAAAAAAAAAAAAGCTGGACAAAAAATATTAAAATTCGCTACGTTACAATCTAAACAATTTGTGCAGTTTCTTTTCGGTACAGTCCTTACGGTGGTTAAAAACTTCTACTTATTTATACAAATACTTTCTTCCTTCTCTACTTCATTCGAACTTCGACTAAATTGGTTTTACATTACAAGGTTGGAAATTCCGATTTCTTATAGAAATGGTTTTGTCTTTTTCTACCTCACACCTTTTCTACCGGAGCACAAGAACTTAAAAAATTTAAATATGTATGTACATATATGCGAGTTCCCGGAACAAATTTAATCAATTAAAAACGAACAGAACGATGTTTGCAAACCATTTTAAAATAGCTCAAGGTATATTCCACATTCCACCGCAAATGTTGAACGTGTGTTTTCTGTTCAGAATCAGAAATACAAGTAAAAACGCTCGGTTCTTTAATAAAAGCAAAACATTAGGTTTTTGTCATGATATAAAAATACATACAGAATCTTTAAACCAAAATGAGACTTACCATCTCACAGAAAGTTAAATGATTGACTAATTTTTCTCTTCTTTTAATACATATACTATGTATATTTTTACTCGATTTTTATTTAAAATGCGTTAAATAAATGTATATTTATTTTACACATTCGTTGTTTTTGTGGCAGCGTTTAAGATTTTTTGTTGGTACATTTTTATTTGATTTGGTACATTTTTTTCTTACGTTTGGTACAATGTCGAAAAATTCATTTACCATCCCTGTGTGTGCTCAAAAGTTGCACCTGAAAGCTGTCAGTTATTAGTGATTTTCCGCGTACACATATGTATGTATTCGCGCCTGCGCACTGACTCACCACCTACTTTACTACTCTCAAATGGCGCAACAAGTGCCAGGATGGAAAATATAGAAACGTACATACATACATATTTAGATACATACAAGTGGCATTACTTTTTCTGTTCTCAGTGTTGCTGATTGATTAAGTCAGGAAAATTCATTCAGTTATGGCTTGGTATCTCTTTTAGAAAGGTCAATTTCTAAGGCAGTCTTAAAATTTTTTTTTTTGGTTTGAAATATCATTGGCTTCGGTCGGTTAAAATTTAGTTCTGGTTTTAGTAATAGTATGAAAGTTGAAAAATAGAAAATATGAACATTGCAATATCCATAACAAACATTAAGCTGATATTTGTTGTGATAACGATATAGAATATATATAGCTGCAAGTACAAGCTTATTCATTTGATGTTACATATGGAACTCAACTTAGCGGAGCCTGTTCCATGTAAGAGACGCGTGAGTGCCAAGGGGGCACAGATTTATTTTTTTGTTAGTGTGAAGATTTTAAGGCTGGGGGCATACGAGCGCTTTTTAATATTTCTGCTGATTGTCGCTGCAAAAACATCGCGTGATGCTTGCATAAGAGACAGGACGCTGAAATGACTTTTATAATATAAGTCTCAAAATAGAAGTCTTTGAAGACTGAAAAATATTTATCTCACTGATAATTATTATGAAAAGACTTTTATAATATAAGTCGTGTCGAAAGCAAGTCGTTTTTCGAGAGTCGAATCGTATTTGAAAATTTCACGTCGTCATTGCCTAAAATTTCCACCCGACTATTGTATTAAAAGAGAAAAACTTGGCAACACTGTATAGTTTTCGACGACTTTCGTCGTTTACTTATTTCAGCACGACAGCAGACAATGCCAATGTTGTCGAGTCGTACAGTTTAGCCCAATTTACGACTTACGAAATGAGGCTAAATAATTATAGATGACTCGAAGAATCTTTATCCTACTATAATAATTATTGATTGATTTATATTCTTTTCTATTATAATAGTTTTGTCTCTGAAAACAAAAATATTGTTTGTTTGATTTTTGCTTTTGGATACTGGGCGTACAGCTCACAGTGTTTCGACTATGTAGAGGCAGGTGGAAAAAGTCATAGGGACAGACAGTATGTTGAACTTGGAGAGTCATAAAAACAGAATTTCAGAATTGAACATTTCCAAAGAAACACAACAATCGTGGTTTTTCAACTGTAATCAATTCTTTAAGTGTCATCGATTATTCACGTGAAAGTATTTATCATTTATTTGGCAGTTTTCTCTTTTTTTATCAAACAAATACATGCTAAAGATTTTTAGTAAAAAAGAATGAGTACCGGTTCGTGAGGTCGTGAAATTACAAAAAAAAATTTAGAGAATTTCATGAGCCTTTCGAGCATATATTTGGATCTTTCTGCGTGACTTTTGAAATGTATGAAATTAACGATTTTCTTAATTTTTCGATGTTCCGTTTTTTTTTTGTGTAATCTCGGGAAAATAATTTTTTGAAAAATAGCCATTATTTTTTTAATTTTAACCAAAAAAATCAATAAGTTGTAATCGTCGTAAAACAATTTTAACTACACTCACGTATTTGTGTTCGTACATCCCACTGTAATTTACAATGATTTCTCTTTTTCGAGTTTAACCAATTAAGATTAAAAATAATAATTAATATTCCAGTTTTAATTTTTCGGCTCAAAGATAATTGTTATTACATGATTTTTATTTTTTCGATCACAAATAATGCTTACTTTATGATTTTTATTTTTTTGCTCAGGGATAATAATTATTAGCGACACCATAATAAAAGAAATAAGTTCAAAATTTTCAGGTAAAAATTTCAGTAAGTTGCGTCTGTATAGCCTTTTCAATTTTATAGATAATCATTATTTTTAAGTGGAAAAATAAAACTCAATAATAATTATTATATCAGAGCGAAAAAATGAAAATCATAAAATAGTCATTATTTGTGATCGAAAAAATAAAAAATCAAATAATAATCATTTCCATTGAGCGAAAAAATAAAAATCAATAATAATTATTATTTTTGAGCGAAAAATATAAAAAATAAAATAATGATTAAATGCTGATTTAAATTATTTTACTCATAATGATTACCGTCCCTGCTTTTTATTTCTGAGAGTAGAAATCTGAAAACAAAAATTAACCAAAATTATACCAAATTTAATGATAAGGCCTGTATTTTTATTTTCCCCATATTTTATATTTATGTTTTTCTAATAAAAGAGAAAGTACAAACCAACCCTGTGTTCAGAAATGCATCAAGCCAAAGCATCAGTCTCTTTTATTTCGAAACTCTGATTAATGGAAATGTCCAAAATGCGCAACCACAGTGGAATCTCGCATTTTAACAGTTATTGTTTAGAAATAAACACAACCCAAATTTTATCGAATTGGCATGAAATTTTATGTATCCGCTCCCAAAGGTGGAGGGTAGGAATGTTAATCCTATCCCGGGATCCC